TTTCCCGTATTATTTTGGTATTGAGGGAGAAAGAATGAGAACAACAATATATTAAGCCACTAGTACATGCAAGGCACTCTCCTACTTTAGTTCATTCTTATGCCTGAAACATCTCAATATGGTACACTATTTTACCCCTATTAAAAGAAGAAAATGAACATTTTCAGATTCTGAATAAATTGCCCAAGATTGCACAGTTCGTACTTAAAGAGCCAGAATTTGAATCTGTGATTCCACGGCCTATGCTCTAGTTTGCACTGTTCTGCCTCCGAGCAGTATTCATTCATTCTTCAATCAATTTTTAAACAAGTAGTTATTGATATCAGTCATCATGCCAGATGCTGTGATGGTCACTGAATATGCAGTTATTTTATTTAAAAAAACAACAACACAGATATGAGAGAAGATACATGGTGGTCAGTGTGTGTGTGTGTGTGTGTGTAAAAGTGATAAATACTATGAGAGGGAACAGTAGGGATGGTGGGACTGTCATTGGGGGCTCAGGGAAGGCCTCTCGGAGGAGGTGACATTAGAACTGATTCCTGAAGCATAAATAGGATTTAGCCATGTGAAGAGTGGAGAAAATAAGGATGTGTAAGCCATGAGAGAGTTTGGGATTCCAGGTAGTGAATGAATCTATGTGGGTGGAGGGTAATGAGTGAGTGAGAAGGAGTCGGGAGAGGTGAGAAGGTCTAGATCAGCGGTTCTCAACCTGTGGGTCGCGACCCCTTTGAGGGTCGAACGACCCTTTCACAGGGGTCGCCTAAGACCATCGGAAAACACATATATAATTACATATTGTTTTTGTGATTAATTACTATGCTTTAATTATGTTCAGTTTGTAACAATGGAATTGGGGGTCACCACAACATGAGGAACTGTATTAAAGGGTCGCAGCATTAGGAAGGTTGAGAACCACTGGTCTAGATCATCTGAGGCCCCTGGCCCTGATGGGGATTTTGGATTCTAGTCTGTGTGCCAAGATAAGCCAGTGAAAGGCTGTAAGCAGAAGGCTGATCTGACAAAAGACTCAGAAGTGAATAGAATTGTGGTATGATTTGAAGCCAGGATAATCAATTCTTGGAGATGGATTGGATATGGGCAACAAAGAAGAGGAAAAGAATCAAGAATAACTAGCAGGGTCTAGTCATATGGGACTAAGAAGCAGTGGGATTGGGTTTTGGAACAGTCACAGAGTATAAGGAGAACAATAAAACTAAATCAGTAGTGTCAGTCCAGGATACCCAAATACCAGAACTAAGCTAAGGCATTATGAGAAAAGAAAACGACCGAGCTGCCCCCTTCATGAACATTGTTGCAAAACTGCTCACGGAGAGAGTGGAAAATTGAATCCAGCCACATCTAAAAAACGCAGAATTTGTGCCAGGAATTTAAGTTGGTTAAATATTCAAAGATCACACAGTGTAATGCTTCATATTACTACATAAAGAGA